GGTTTATTGTCAAACTGGTAACCGTTTCATCCATAGTCACGTCACACAAATACGGCTGTTATGCAATTTGAAACACTTTCCCAGATGTGGCACTGATAAACATCATTCGTCCATGCTGTCAACTGTGGTTTTTAATCCTTGAAGTGGCCCTATAAACTCGCATACACACTGTGTGTCTACAGGATCAGAAGGCTCACAGGGATGGCACAGACCTCCGACTGCTTAAAGAGCTCAAAGCCAACAGTCGGACAATATTCACACACGCAAACACACAGCTGCAGCCCGACGGCTGCCAGCACTAGGAGAGGGATCAGATCTGTTGATCTCTGCCAAGCCCTGGCAGAGCGAGGACACTTTGGACGTGGCATCACTGGACGTGCAGATCCAGACACTGAGACATTGTTACTGTTGTGAGACGCCGATTTGGTTCTCCAAATCTCTCCCAGAACTCTCCACTGCCACTCAGCAGCAAGCCACAAGCCAGATCCCAGCACCGACACACACACACACACACACACACACACACCAGTCTCCAAATGCTGGAACAGGAAAAGAAAGGAAAAGAGGGATGAGGACTATGGGCGAGCAAAGCCGCCACTGACTCTCTCAGAGACTAGGGGCCCTCCAACTCTGAATCTGGCGTGAAAAGTACAGCAGGGATGAAGACGAGAGCCTGCTTGGAAAGCAGAGAAGGAATACATGAATGTGTTGGGACCAGGAATTAGAGGATGAAGAAAAGAGGGGAAAATGAGGAAGTGGATTTTTTCTCTCTTGGATGGAAGCTTGGTTCTTTTCAAGGTCAACCACAGTATAATAGTAGCGTAATTTTATAGATCTATCTATAGTATAGTACATATAGTATAGAGAGTGTGTGTGTGTGTGTATATATATGTGTGTGTGTGTATATGTATATATACACACACACACACTCTATACTATATGTACTATACTATATATATATTTAGAATATTTGATCTTTTATTTATAATTTATTCCTTTTATTAATTTACTTTTGATTATTAAAACATTTCATTTTCATTTTTTATTTTTTTTATTTTTTTTTTTGCAGTTTACATATGCATTAGATGTGTTTTTCATCTCCATTTAATTAACAACAAATGTTTTTCAGCATTTTGGTATAACAATTATAACTTCTAATTACTATATATGAACCAAACTTTACATATTACTTTACTTATGTTATGAAACTACAGAATTTATGTAATATTTACTTCTTGATTTAATTCTCAAAAATCTATGTAACTTTCAGCAGTATTTTAATGAAAAAATTATTTCAGACTATAATACAACATATGCAGAAAAACTTGTGCTTAAATATTCATTTTTTTACAGAAAAGAATATGTAATAATCCTGAATGTGTGTACGTAATATATATATATATAATATGTAACAACATAGTTGAGCCGAAAACAACTCTCTTACTATCATAATTTCCAGAGAACATTGAACATTGAGAGCACTGAAACGTTGACATTGCGTAAGCCTGACTGCTTGTCAAACATAATGTTTTTAATATTGCATGAACTAATCAAATAAGACGTTCCCAGCGATGCATGTAATCACGAGAAGCAGAATTCCACTTAGAACCAGCACAGGATGCGAAAGAGCTCCGTTCCTGATGGATGCTCAGACATTTCAGCAGTTCATAGTTGGCACAGGGCTTGGCGCAAGTTCAGGAATACAAGATGTCTGTGTGTTTATATGCACAATACGAAAAGAATAACCAAAACTCTCACAAGAAGCCAAGTGTGCATCAGAACCACTCCAGAGACTAATACAACAGGGTTTTGGAAGCGCCATAGATGTGTATCTGGGCTTCGTAGTTAATCCATGGCCTTAAGGTCTTTGGCAGCCATGACAGGATGTCACATTTGGTTGGTTTGTGTGAGATTTTCTTCTATCTACTCTAGGGATGGAACGATTACCGGTTTCACGATAAATCACGCTAAAATGCCCTGACGGTTAGTATTACCGTTTAAAATTTAATTATCATCAAAACCGTGTTTGATTATCGCGCTTTTGAAAACTCGCGGTAAATCCTGTCCAGCCAGCATCAGTCTGACGCAGAAGCAGCATACAATGTGGTTGTTAAAAGTGCATATAGCTGCTAATTGTATTTGTTGTTTGTTGATTTTCAAATATAAAACTTATTGAAATGTTTTCGGTGTGTGTATCAGTTCTTTTTGAACGTTTTCATCTAATTTTAACAAAACCGTGATAATATTGATAATCGTGATAACTTTGGTCACTATAATCGTGATATGAAATTTTCATACCGTTACATCCCTAATCTACTCTAATGGATGCATCAGAAACAATGGGTTTACTATCACATATGCCAGGGTCTATGTGCTTCCTTTAAGGCCACACACAACACTGGCATCAACTCCAGCGCTCTCCATATGCCACACATTCATAATCGTTAGTCATGCTTTACTGTTTTCTACTTTCCTTTGTCTGTACACACACACTCTGTCTCTGTCCGGGGCCTGAAATGATGATTTATATGGTTTATTTAAAGTCAACGGTGCCTCCAGTGAAACAGTTTCCTCGGTGGCAGCACTTTGTCCGAGCAGTCACACACTCAAGCTTCTTGTTGTTTAGTTCCAAACTTGGCTTGGGCGTCTCGATTCCTCCGAGTATCTGTGGACGAGCGCTGGAAGGTTCCAGTTTCTTGGCTGCATCCCCGGGGGCGAAATTGGATGCGACAGAATCTGTATCTGAGGTGGTGTGTACATATCTTCTTGCCAATAGCAATGAATTGAGAAAATGTACCAGCCATAAATATTTCTTACAGGCTATGATTCTGTACTTTATCTGTATATCTCTTTTTATATTTCATTTTATCTCTATATATCTGTCTCTTCGGATAAAAAACAAAAACAAAGAATAAATACCTGTTTTCTATTTTAATATATTATAAAATATAACTACACAGAAATCTGTGTAGTTAAAAGTACTAAAAGAAGTATTCACATGACATTTACAGCTTGAAGTGATTGGCTCAAAGCATCCTGACAGCAGAACTGAGAGACCATGAGCAAAGATGGTTGAGCATTGCCAAGCAACTGCCATTGAGATAAATGGGAATGAACAGGCATTATTCTCCTGGTATTAAAGACCTCCTTGATCTCTACAGGTTATTTTGCCAAGTCACTTAGAGGTCTCATTTCCAGCATGTATAACCCTGAATGCAGCTAAACAAGTATTTTCATTTCATATTATCCACAGGAGCCTTCATTGCAGGCCATATATTTTCAACACGTCACATTATTCTGTGAATATACAGCTCTCCATCGCAACATTCAGCAGGGGAATTGTATTGGGCTGGTATCTAGAGCTGGTATGCTTAACTGAGGGTGTCTTTTCTCTTCCTTTTGGCACAGGAAGCTCAGTTTCTGTTCTGTCAGTTTTGTTCTGTTCCCCACAGGCCTGTTTGAAAGATAATCATTCAGATTTAAAGGATTATAGATGCTTAGAGTCCTGACCTGACTCAGTCTCCCTTTATTTAGCAATACCCTTTTCATTTAAAATCCTCTCCGTCTCTCTGCTCATATCTCACAGCCAAGCGTGCTTCTCGGACTGAGCAATTTTGAATTGATTTTCCATTGCTTACCTTAATATCATTAAAGATGAGTCTCATTTTCTCTCAGCAGAGCAAATACACCCACAGAGACCCGCACGGAGGCTCGCATTAACGCTGCCTTCTGCGACAGAGTTTCATAGTCGTAATTCTCCCTCCGCTAACCCTTAACATAATTGTGTCTCTAATTCACAGTGCGGTTTCATTTAAAACTGTTTTCACTTTTGTAACCATTAACTCGCTCTCATATTTCGGGTCTCTCTTTTGGCTCGACACTCACCGTTGCCCTGGCTCGTATATTTTGGTTGCGTTTTGCAAAGCTTTCTGGGCATTGGCTGTGAGAAGAGCGTAATCCACCACCTCAAACGCCACCTGCATAATTTAATGTTTGGTCGGCACGACAACAGTACTAAAATTAGGCTTATGACAGGAAGAATACATTATATACAGCAGCCTGGGAAGAGAGCAGCATGGTTGGAGAGGTCCCTCATATTCTCTATAGGAAGATGTGCATTATTCTTTCATAATTCCCATAATCCTGCTTTCTGACTCATACCATTTACGATATTTAATCTGTTACTACCTGGTCGTGGTTCTTGCAAGAACCACAAGGGTTTGGTAAGTTCATTAAACACAAACTAGGCCCAAATGGTCTTATGCAATATTGGAATTAGAAGCAAATGAACATTAGAGCATTACGATAGATGTGTGGTAAAAGCAGCGCTGTTTATTTGGAGCACCAGCCCTCTGAGGGAATATGGCTTAACTGGCTTTTAATTTTAGTGTCTGCTATTTGTTTAACTCCATTTAAAGCTACTTTTAAACTTTTCATGCAGTAAGCTTTTTGTAGCTTAGAGTTCAATTACATTTAAATGTATACTATTTGATGATTTATTTTTATGAATCAATCAGATCCGTATGTACTGTAAAAGGGACAAAAACATTGGGAATCTCAATTAGAGTGACATTAAATGTGCATAGAAAAATGTAGACAATGCACAGATAAAGCTAGAAAATCATTTAGTCAAAAATAGGGGTGAACAACAGTCTAACTAAATATTTTGCTTCAAAAATGTCTCACAGAGCCTTGAATCAGTGAATCGTAAGAGAGAGAGAAACGTTTAGAACGCTTTTGATTATTCAGTTCACTGTGCAAACATTGTGATATAAAAAATTTAAACAGGCTACACTGCTGCTTTTGGCAACAGTAGCTCATTACTGGAAACGCTGCATTGTTTTGGGAACAGCTGAGCTGCTGCAAAATGCAGTTAAGTTTATAGCATCGCTACCTTTAGTTAGTACTGATTTGCAAAGACTGTAGCCCTTATAAAATGTGGATCGTGTCTCTCTTTTTTTTTTTTGGTCTTAGCCCTTCCATTTTTCCTTTTCATGCAGGGCTGAAGATCCGTGAAGTGATGATAAATGTGTCCAGACAGCAGGTGGAGGACTTCCACGGACCAGAGGACTACTGGTGTCTGTGTGTGGCCTGGAGTCATCTGGGCACCTCCAAGAGTCGCAAAGCCACCGTCCGCATTGCATGTCAGTATAATCATAACCTGCTTTCTCATAAATAACTTTCCACTTTTGAATTCTTAGTTTACACACACACACACACACACACACACACACATATATATATATATATATATATATAATTTTAATATTTATACGAAATAGCTAGGTTTTACAACAGCACAAAATGGAATTGCAAAAATACTGGAAATTACTTTTTAAATAGGTTTCGCAAACTCTTGTGCTACTGCAAACATAATTAGATAAAGCCAGAATTATTTTATTATTATTTATATACAATTATGGTAATGAAAACAGACAAAGTTGGCACACCTAGGCTCCAAAAAAAAATGTAATAACAGACCATCACACAGCTGACGTTTTGAGGATGCAGGCTCTTCATCAGGCAATATAATTATGGTATTAATTAACATTTTGAATTAGCTTTTTTTTTTCAAATTTTCATTGTAATTGTAATTTTAGAAATATTTTTATTTAGTTTTAATTTGTATTAAACTTTACATTTCTAATTATTTCAATTACCTTTTTTTTTCTTTTTTTTCAAATTAACATTCTTTCTAATGTTTTTTATTTTCTTTTTCTTTTCAGTTACACCGGATAGTACCACCCTTAAAAATGCCATTATTTGAACCCTATTAGCTCATGACATTAGTTGAACTATAAGAGAATTTGACTGTAGAAGCCATTTTATGCTAATGCCATTAGTGAGATGCTAAAATTGTTTGCCTTAACATTTATGTATGACGTATCAGTTTAGGCCTTACTTTTAGTTGTACTGGGAGGAAGAATATGTTAATATTGAATCACATTGGAATTATCATTCAAATTGTTTTTAACAAAAAATATCTACTTGATTTTGCTAGTAATGTAGAAGCTACATGCTACCAGTGTCCTTTGTGTTTCCATATAGACCTACGGAAGAACTTCGAACAGGAACCGCAGGGGATGGAGGTGCCGATCAATGGCATGATCGTTCTCCACTGCCGCCCACCCGAGGGAGTGCCTGCAGCTGAGGTGAGTGGGTCACAGCTCCCTCTACCTGTCTGGATGTGTGAGTGTTCAATCTATTGAATGTTTGTGTCTTGCCTTATAGGCATTTGATGAGCGTGCTTCCCTGTGAATTAGGAATGAGTGGAGTTGTATTTACGAGCGAGTACCGTAAGTACACAGTGTGTGCATTATCATTACCGTAGTCGGGGTTCTGGAACGATGATATATTCAAAAGTGCATTTGCATGCTCAGCGCAGGATCTGCAGTGCATTTACATGTGTCTGTTGATTTTTTTGTTTGTTTTTTTTAGCAAGCACCTTCTCATTACATTAACTTAGGGGATGTTTGTGTCTCTTTTAAGAACTTTCTCCTTTCCATCTATATTTTTTCCTTATATACAGTATGTCCTGAATAATATGTGTTTTCCGAAACAAGAACTGCCCCATGCTGCTCAGATCCAGCAAGAGATAAAAGATTTAGCTCAAATGGACAGTTTGTGTTACCTCGTCTTCCACTTGCGGGGTCACTCGCAAGGCCTTTTCTTTTATATGCATGAAAGCCAGTTCAGAGATGAACACAGACTTTGAATAATGCAGAGCAAATCCCATCCTAACCCTCTGAACTGCTGTCCACTGTCCTAAGAAAACTCATTCTCCTGGGAACAGGGCTGCAGTGTGAAGCAGCAGTTGGGCTATCTATCTATCCATCCATAACTTTGGAATCTGCATTCTAGTTTGCAGCAAGAAGTGATACTGAATTCTGTGAGTGTCAAAGGAATGTTCTGAGAAACCGCTCTCAGGTTCATCTCAGTGACTCCAAGTGTATAATATCGAACCTCCTACAGAGTTTTGTGACAGGCTTAGGAGGATATCCATGTGCTTAGTGGAAATCAAACTGGCAATTGCTTCTCATAAACCCAGTGTCATATTATTATCATCCCCCACATTCTAGTGAGATGATAAGTGATACCGCTGCGTCTGCCTCTCTGAGGCTGCTGACAGATTCCTTGTTTTTTTGTTTTGTTTTTTATGTCACTCTGTGTTCTTTGTAGTAGTTTCAGAACAAGCAATACTTAAACTAGGCCACCGCATTTCAACATCAGCTTTAAAAAAAAAAAAACATATCAACTCTTGCCATCTGTCATGTTGGAAACGGATCCAAAATGGCTGTATGGTGAGCTGCCGTCTGTGATCTGGAGGGAAGCAGACTGCACCATCACTACAGCTAATCAATAGTTACCAGAGCCAACATGGTGCTGCTGCTGAAAAGGATAGTCAGGCTTAGGCGATGTTTGAGACGGAGCCAAGATCCGGGTCCAGAGGTCTCTGTGCCAGAAGGGTTTGTCGCTGGAGATTACAGGTTGGCAGCTGAACGCTCCCTCTGTAATCATTGCTGCTCAAAGTCTAAAGGTCAAGCCGAAGAACTCTGCCACCGGTAGACATATGAGCCAAGATGGCTCCCCCGTTGGCTGGCTGATACCATCTTTGGACGGGACACAAGTATGGCTGAGACTGGAAATTGATCAAGGGCTCGGAGAGCGTTGGCAGGTCACGGCTGACACGCCACCTCTGCGCTTCACGCAGGTTAATTATTTTGCTCTCGATTCTGGCAGTGAAACGTGAAAACTTGATTAAATCGCTTGTATTTGAGTTTTTTTCTTTTTTCTAAAGACATTTGCGAAAGGTCACAAGCTCGTAACAATTTTGTCATTGTTTATTCTGGCATATGTCATCCTTGTCCTTTGTTTGTTCCCCGCTTGAATGGAAACCTGTTTAGAAAATATCATTTCCCTGGAGCTATAAGATCATCCCTGTCGAATAATGAACGTAACATAATTAAAACAATTACACCAACAAGGAAATGAAAGTGCGATATTAACTGTCAAAGTAAAGTTCATACAGATTACTCACAGCTAAGATGGGAGAAAAAAAGGCTCTCAATAACTTTGAGAGACCCGACCGATCATTAAGCCCATATTAACTTCACAATCCTCATCCAGCGACGCAATTAATCATTCAGTCTGATGAACCAAAGTCATTTAAAGTGCTTAAAATTTAATTATTCAGAAATAAACATGGCACGGTCCGCGCTGTCAAGAGTAGAATGAGAAGGAAGGACACATCCGGCCTGTTCTATCCTCACATCCGAAATAGTGCAGTTGGATTTGGAAAGTTCATTTCTTTAATGCGATTCGGTGAAAGTCACCATAGCGTTTGTAAGGGGCCGTGGACTTGATTGAAGCAAAGTGATGCAAAGGGACATTAATGAAACTGGAACTTAATTGAGTAGGATGGAACAAACCCGGACTAGACCTCCTTTTGTAATTGCCTTCTTGTCACTTTCACTTTCCGACTAAATGAATGTAAATCTAAAGGGTGATTTTTGCCCAGAATGACGATGTTATGAGGTGTTGTATCCTTTTCAGGGCTAATTGGATTGACCTGTTAGGGACATGCCAGATTCAGTGTTGAGAATGAGCCTGTTTTTTGGACATAGCCACCCGGAAAGTTTGTCACACTTTTTAAAAAATTTGTCTTAGTCAAAGTTTTTTCTTGACAAAAATGTAGTCAATATCAACATGTTAATACATTTTAGTCTATTTTACTTGGAATGAAATGGTATGTACTTTCAACCAAAAAAACATTTTAGATGTTAAAATGTAATCATTTAAACAAGTATTTAACATGTAAATGATTGTAGCATTAGCATATGAGTTTACTGATGTATTAGCGATTTTTTAGAAGTTACTGTGTTGTGAGTTTAGAGACTTTTTAAAGATATCTTAGAATGTTCTGACTAGTATGTAACTTAGTTAACTAGTATGTAACAAATTGATCTATGCATTCACATCACAGGTTTTTTTTTTGTTGTTGTTGTGTTTAGTGTGGTTATATGTTGTAGTTGTTTTAAATCAAAACTAGCAAATTTCATTTAAAAAAAAATAAGGATCAGCTACCTTCATCATTTATTTAACTACTTGTCAAAAAATTATGTATTGATTTTGTTTTACACTATTTATTTTTACACTACTTTTAAACAATTTCTTCTGTGGAACACAAAAGAAGATATTTTAAACAATGTTTCAACTGTTTTTGACCACATAATAAAAGGTAATGGGGTCCAAAACAACACTGGATCTTTTTGACATTCATTGCAAAATAAAAGATTTTTCACAGAAAAAAAAAATCATAATCATACAAAGTCATACAGGTTTGAACAACATGAGGGTGAGTAAATGATGGTAACATTTCATTTCATTTATTTAATCTTTTCAAAATCTGAAAATCTATAATAATAATATGACTTATTACATGTTTAAAAGTATGATCCGAAAAGAGAAATAATCATAAACCATTTGAATATGTATTGTTGGAAAAATTGTTTTTATTTTATTTTTTTTATTTTTTTGCAAATATTTTTGTTTCCAAGGAGACAACCATCTAGATGAGAAATATGGAATGTGTGATGTAAATAAACACAAGGTAAATATCATATTTGCATCATGCGTCATTTACAGTGTATCTCAATTAGGCAATCAGTGTAAAATAATTTATTTTATTTAATTTTTAATTTTTTTAATGTATGTAGGATAGATAAAATAGCTATGAATGTAGCCCTAGCAAGACAATGGAGATGGCCATTTTATTTCAAATATATTATACAGTATATATATATTATATTTATATTCAAATATATGAACTGTATTTTCCATCATGGTTTTTCCACCACAGAATGTTACTAAACATAGTACATCATTTAAGATGTGCTGGAACTGGCATTGTAAGAATTCTCAGACTAATTAAACTAAAAAGAACTTGAAGAGAGTTTATTTTCTGAAAGTACACAAGGTTAAAAGTGGCCATAAATGAAGAAGCTCCCATGCAGTATATAGGATGTATACTGTATATGAGTGAGCTAATTAAAACTTTTGTGAACCAACCAGTGTTCACTGATTAGTTGACCAGTGTACAGCTCAAGCAGAATATTTTACAGTTTCTTTTTTTTTTCTATGAATTTCTCAAACTATTAACCTCCATCTTTAGAATGTGATCTCAGATTATATCTTTAAGATTCGCAGGCAGTCCCGATGCCCTATGGGCTCTCGGAGCTGTCGTGTCCTTGGAAACTCCCGCAGGCCTGTATAAACAATGTAATGCTGGTCTGTGCCTTCAAAGGATATTTGGAAAGGGGTTCAATTAGCGTGACATCAGAGGTTATCTGTATTGTCCTTTGAGGGTCTTAGTTGGTGGGCATGGCATTGTGGTGGTCCGCATTCATGGGCCTTTAATTGGAACAAATGTGCTAATTAAGCAAATTCATTTCCTCTGTTCCCTGGCCGGAGGCTTATCACACCCATTTGAATCTGTCCCTCAGTGTTCATCTCCTCCATCTCCCTCCAACCCAACGCTTCCCCCCCAGAGGCCCACAGCAGACCCAGAAACAGCCTGCGATTTGAAAACAAAACACACACACACTCGTACAGAACAAGAGGGAATTTCTCCCCAACAGACTCTTAGAAGGGAGATGGAGGCATTGATAGAGGAAAAGCTTTAGATTAGGTCTCAGATAGGGAAATAATTAGAATGAAAAAGAAAGAGTTTAGATAAGTAATATGGATCCTCATGAGAGGGTTTTTGGAGGTAAAATACAGGCTTTTTTGGTGTATTTGATCTGGGAACACAGGGTTAAATGAACTTGAGTCCGTGAGGTAGTTTAAAAAGATATGTAAATTAATATTAATACTTAGTAAACCAATAAATGATTGAATTAGGTTTTATCATTTAAGGGTTGAGATTTTTTTTTTGCTGATAATTATGCTCCTGTACACAGATGATCTCCTACTGATATCTTATAATAGTCTTAATAATTAACTGCTCAGTATAATCTTTCCATTCACTAACTCAACACTTGTCAGTCTAGTAAACAAAAGGAGCAAATCATGCAGTGCCATCTACAGACTATGAACAATAAAACACATTTCTAATTTAATGAAAAGCCCCTATCCAATTTCTAACTTCATTTTATATATGACCTTGATGTTTTTCAGTCTTTAGCTTGTTTTGAGGTTGTTCAATAACTTCATATTTTAGCTTGATTTTAAAAAGTCTTTTTTTACCTGTTGCATTATTCACAGTTTTTTTTTCTCCATATCGCAGACACATTTATAATGGAAACAAATCATTCTGATTTGTCAGTTTACCAATTAAATGGGTATGAAACTCTCAATAAACAGCAGAATTTATCTTTATACTTTTATAATTTACCATTTTTTCATAGATTAAAAAAAGAATAAATTTTATGTAATAAATGTAATAAATTTTATAATGTATGAAAATATTTAAATGTGTCAATGTAATAAATGAACTTTAACCGAATTTTCAAATACTGTATCAAAAACTGTATAAAGATTTATCAAACATAAATTATCTATCTGCACAAAAATTTATGGTAATGAAGTATTTGCTATTTTTAGTAGGTATATGCTTTAGAGACTGTCATTAATGTTTCATGTTCATGAGGATAGTTCTCTGACATTTGTGCATTGTGTGTGTGTGTGTGTGTATGTATATATATATATATATATATACTGTTACTAATAGATCTGTGATGTTTTTCAACTAGAGCGAATAAGCATTATGAAGTCAAAGAAGCAACATGACTTGATTAGCTTTTGCGGTCCAACCGTAAACACAGAATGGAGGGAAAGGCAAGAGAAGGGGAGAGAGAGAGAAAAAGAGAGGACCGATACAGTCACCGCCGTTCTGGGAGCTCTGGACTGGAACGGAGAAAAGAGTGAAATTAAAAGCATATGATGAAAGAGTTCTCTCCGGCCATCACGAAGATGAGAAAGAGAGAGAGAAATCTCTCACACATGACAATCTGATGGGTGATATATTGATTTTCCTCCCTTCATTATTCTTTAAGGCCTTAGAGAGAGAGTTGAGCAATTTTGCTCGCCCCACGTGCGTGTTTGCTGCCGTGGTGTTCGAGCGCAGAGGGCGAGAACTTTACACATAAACAGAGATTCCCAAGGGGCGTGCTGTGTTTTTAATCTGCAAACACGCAGTGACATAAATCAACCCACGTCCCCATGCCCTGACGACTGCTGCCGCCTCTCTGGACCGACTTAGAACTAGCGGCTGTTGGCAAACGATTGCAATTTACACGATCAGCCATGCGAGGAGGGCGCGTCGTCATGCCATTGCTACGTTTGTAAATCCTAATGAATCAGACCGTCAAACATCAGAGCTGAATAAATAACACTCGGCTGGACTTGACCTTGCAGTCGCCTCAAACTGGCATGAGGTCTTTGGATGAGCTGTGACCTGTGACCCGATCAAGGTTGATGGGTTTGAACGTGATCTAAAAAAAAAAGCAAACGTCTGCTGCGGAACATGCTTTTTTTGTGCTGTCAGTCTGTGATAGGTCACACAGAGGTCATTTTGAAATTCTTGCTGTTGCATTGATATGGCTGGTGTCTTATTTGACAATGTATCTTGGATTTAATTGGCTGAGCTGATGTGGGGGCGATGTTTGCTTCAGATAGGCTGTCAGGAACTGTCTCATGCTGGTTGAGAAGTTCGAGAAAAGGTTGGCGAAAAACATTTACTCTATAGCCTCCTCGTGAAAAATGTAGATTGGTTCCAGGAGAGGGGGCTGCTTTTTGCTTGTGGCCTCGCAGTTGCATTGCTTCTCTGCTGGTTGGATTGACCATAAACTTTCATTAAAACATCTGGATTTACTCACAAAGGCTGGTTTTAAGCTGTCAAATCTGCCTGTTTTTTTCTAGGTTGAGTGGTTGAAGAATGAAGAGCTGGTGAGTTCTCTTGTAGACATCAATATCGACACTCGAGCCGACCACAACTTGATTATCAATGAAGCAAGGCTGTCTGACTCTGGAAACTACACCTGCCTGGCCAGCAACATTGTTGCTAGAAGACGTAGCGCCACAGCAACAGTCATAGTGTTTGGTATGGAAACATGTTTTGAATATCATTATCATTAAAATAGGATTTTGGTTTGCTATTTAGTACACTTTACTCTAAAAGTTTTTTTTCTGTGACTCTTTCTTTAGTTTACATGAATCATCCACAGCTGATTTTATTCATTAAGGAATAAAACAAGTGACTATCTTTATGGATGAGTCACTAAATCATTCACAACCAGTTTATACAGAAACACTGATTTATTCATGAACAAAACAAGTGGCTGTCTTTATAAGCAAGTGATCAAATTATTTACTAAAACACTTTGTTTTAAAAACGCTGATTGAATCATTCAGTGACTCACTCATAAAAACTCAATATTGTTTCTGAATGAATCAGTGTTTTGATTGAATCATTTGAATGAATGAATCATTGACTCAGTGTGAATCCTACAGTCCGGACACTTGTTGCCACCTATGTCACAGTGTAACCTAAAACACTAATTCAGAAACAAAATAAGTATTTATGAATGAGTCATTAAATCATTCACAACTGTTTTGTTTAGAAACAATGATTAATTCAGGAACAAAACAAGTGACTCTGTATGATCGAGTCCTCAAATCATTCACTCAAATTCTGTTTTAAAAATACTCACCCATAAAGGAAGTCACTTGTATTGTTCCTGAATGAATCAGCATTTTTGAATGAATCTTTTAAATGAATGAATCACTTACTCGTAACCAGCTACTGATGTAACGATTTAAACTGTAAAAAGAGTGGCTGAAAAAATCCCCAATACACAGGCTGACAGTCTGTCCGGAATGTGCAAACACAAACAAGCAGAATTACAAATAACAGTGACAAAAATGCCAGTGATGATGGACATTGGAATAAGCAAATGTATTAATGGGGTATGAGAGCTACAGATTCCTTAAATGCTAGGGAAGGAAACAAGCTTTATCTCATCCTTTTGAGTGCAAGTGCCAGAAAAGTTGCATTGAAACATCTGGATCTCACAAGAGTTACTGCAGATCACAATATGTGAAAGTTTGGCATGCTGCAGAATGGCGCCGCCCATCCATTTAGTCACCTACACCGACCTTCACTCGAACAGTTTACAAAAAACGATCACCTATAAATCACCATCCCGCCACGACCCGTGACACAGCATCCTCGTTTTTCAAATCCCCAATAATTCATCAAACGAGACGTAATGTAGAAATACACCGTTTCATCATTTCTCCAGACCTGTGTCTGCATGAGGCCATCACTTAGACGCCTGGTATGGGTTCGATTATCTATTTTTGTCAACACATATAATGAGTTAATGATTCTAACGCTCCCTGTGTGGCCAGCATTGCCACGGTTCAGGCTCCATTAGCCTAATTGACATGGTCTCCTAGTGTTTTATCCTCAATATTTTGATGGTAAGGTAATATAGCGCACTCTCTCTCCCTCTGCATGGCTTCTGAGAGTCAGTCACAGATGAAGGCTAAAGCTGGCAGTTTCAGAGGCTTGATTTAAACACACTGAAAAGCTTTGACATCAGCTGTCAGAAGCAGGCAGCGCTGATTGAGCGCTAGCTGACTGATCCGCAATTAACGTTTAGCAGCTAGCGTAGCATCTACAATTTAACATGACTCCCAGCTAGGGTTGGGAACCGATCTGTTTTTTTAAAAGAACCGGAACCGTGAGCAATTTCTAAGTTTCGGTTCCGAAAACGGTTCTGGTGCGACACGTGACCAAGTGCTGTGAGCAGCCTTGCGCCGGCTTTTCCCGTAAAGGATGTCACAAACCAAATAACAGAAACGCCGCCCTGCCTCTTTAATTACTGAGCACATTGTTTCCCATGACACGCACTCCACAGACGCGCCGCGTCTTTAAAGGGGTCATATGATGCGATTAAAATTTTTCCTTTCTCTTTGGAGTGTTACAAGCTCTTGGTGCATAAAGAAGATCTGTAAAGTTGCAAAGACTAAAGTCTCAAATCCAAAGAGATATTCTTTATAAAAGTTAAGAGTCAACCACGCCTACCTAAAACGGATCGTTCTAACACGCCCCCACA